GGTACATAATGAAAGAATAACATTAATATTTTAAAGCTTACATTTTAGTGATTGAGTTTAAATCTACAGTATTTAAATGCCCACATGCGGAATCTGAACTTCTCAGATACCTGAATAGAAGCCAACTGGTTCTCCACATGCTAAACATGTTTTTCCCTGAAGTATGACTCTAGAATTCTCTAGAATTTACTTTATTCCTACTGTTGCCACTATTCTTTCATCTCTTCTTTACATTAGGGACATTATGAGCTCATTGTCAGACCACTATTGTGTCCTGTCCTCCCCCTCCATCACACATTTCAGGCCACATACAGTATCAAATGAACTGTTTTATTCAACTCTAACATGTACAGTAATACACTAAGGCCCCATGTACGCAGGACGTTTCTGAATGATGGAAATTGACTGCTGGAAAACATAGATTAAAAAATGTCTGTTTAGCCGCGTTTGCATAACGCATTTATGTGCGTTTATGCTCGTTTGCGCTTAGAAGCGTTTTTTAAAGATAAGCACAGGAGAACCTCCCAAATGCCCAGAATGTACTGAAAAGTGGTAAATGATTAACTATTTCAGACTGTTTCAGAGAAATACACACAGTAGAAGCAGAGACAGCAGTATGTGTTGAGATAATTATGTGTGAGTTGCTCATTAACATTTCTTTTGTTTCCAAGGGTGGGAAAGCTGTCTGCTGGAGTGAGTTTATTAAGGTCACCTGGCAGGGGGTCTTCATGAGGAATTTGAGGTGTGAATGGGCATTAACATATCTTTTGTTTCCAAGGGTGGGAGAGGTCTGAGGTGTGAATTGGTCATTACAATATGTGACAAGCTTGGTAGGAACATCCTGTGTTAAGTGTTTTGTCCATCTGAGCACCTTGAAAACACTTTGCATGCATTTTTCATGATGAATAAAGGCTCTGGACAGCCTTTACAAGCGTTTTGTGTTTGAAACGCTGATAAAATCGACGTCTGAACGCAAGTTTGTTGCATTAAAAAAAACGACTGTAAACTCAACTGCCTGTAAACGACTGTAAACGAAGATGTGTACATGGACACATAGGAAAACATTAGGGTGAGTTCAGGGGCTGAAAAAAAATGCTGAACAGCTCCTAAATGTGAGTTTAGCAGCTGCAGTGTACATGAGCCCTAACCCTCTTTCTACAACTGCAACAACTATTTATCATCTGTAATATTAAGAGATTCCATTTTCTCTTGCAGGTACACCACCTGCCACACAAAATGCACTTTTCAGCAGCTTTTTAGTGCAGAGCATAACCAGCTCCTGGCATGAACTCCCATTTTGGAGCAAATATCAGGATAATATTCCACTTTCTGTCCTGCCCTCATCTGATTACCACTTGCGATATTTGGGGGTTTTGCTCAAGTATAGTGCCTTTGACAAGAGTTGATTCACACGTGCGGTGCGGATTGAAGCTCAGGTTTCACAGTTAATTGATACAGTCGTTCACAGGTTCATGTCAGGTTTACATCAGGTTCAGGACAGGATTAGCTCTCAGGATGATCCTGTTTACACTTATGCGGTTTAGAAACGGTTCCCATAGAAGTCAATAGCCTGTAATCTGCACCTGAACTGGACCGCACTGCTCAGAAATCATACATGACCTTTTTTCAAACCACACTGAATCCGCAATGCCAGTGCAGTGGACATACTGTATGTGAACAAGCACCATTGGAAGCAATGTTTTTTCACATGTCATGCGGATTGGATGTGGTTCAAACCGCATCCAATCCACATATATGTGAACCAGCACTAAGTACACTACAGCTGGTAAATATGTTTCAGGGCTTGTTGGCCCCACTTTTATTTAAAAGGAAAGTAAAAAGTTCCAATGCAACAAAAAGTTTTGTTCAGCATTATGCTTTCAAAGCTCTGGCCTCACACTGCAAGCCTCTGTCTGGTCCTCAGGACTGTCTCACTAAACTCTAGATTCTGTTTCTTTCTCTATCTCAGCTTTTTTGCAGCACTCTGCTGCACTGACCCACACCCTGACCTGGACAGGAGACCTTCTTGTCTTCCAGTTGGAGCCCTGAACTACAGACAGCCACTTGATTAAAAAAGGCTGTGTACACCTGCACACTCAGCCTGTTGGTCTTCTGTAAGATAAAGTTATTCAGGCCATAGACGGGTAGAAAAAAAAAAATCGGCTGATTTTCGGATCGTTAGTGGGGTAATAAGTCAGCCGTTTTTTTGTGATTTTGATACTTTTTTTTTTGTCGTCATGTTGGAAAAAAATCGGCTAGTTTTGTCGTTCGGCAGTGATGGACAAATCGGCCGATCTTTTTACCGATTTTAAAAAATGCGTATGAGCAGTGACCGGCAAGAAGAAGGAAAAGAAGAAATAGAATATGAATAAGAAGAGGAAATAGAATATGCATAAGAAGAAGAAATAGAATATGAATAAGAAGAAGAAAAGAAGAAATAGAATATGAATAAGGAGAAAAAAAAGAAGAAATAGAATATGAATAAGAAGAAAAAGAAAAAATAGAATATGAATAAGGAGAAAAAAAAGAAGAAATAGAATATGAATAATAAGAAGAAATAGAATATGAAATAATAAGAAATAGAATATAAAATAAGAAGAAAAAAAAAGAATTTCAGTCAGATATTATATTTGACATTTAAAAAGTATAGCAACATTGTATCTATTTGTATCCGAATAAGAAACATCTGTATCCGAAATGGATACAAATAGATACAATGTTGCAACTTTTTCTTAACGAAACGTCGGCTGACTGAACAACCGATTTTTCATTTTTCAAACAAAAAAAAAAAACGACCATTTCTCAAAAGTATCCTTCCAAAGCCTAACATGTGTTTATTTTCTTGGGAGAGTTTGTGATCAGAATGTCCGGACAGAGGTCAGGGGTTTTGCATCCTTCTAGAGCATAAATGGAGCTCCTCCTACAAGATACAATAATACAAGCAAGCTTCCCCACGCCACACCCACTTAACGTAACAATGTCGCTCCGGTACACCCCCCCAGATGCTGAAAACTGGCTATCACCTGAGCCCCCCCCCGATATACAAGCTTTCTTTTCGTGGCCGTCACCAGCCTGATACATTCAGGGCTGGCTACTGAACAAGTAGAACAGGCATTTTTCATCCCACCCTCAAACAAAAAAAAAAACGTCCATGTTTTTAAGCTCCCCGGAATGTATGGCCTCATTTTAGGGTTAGAGACTTCATCCATCCTAAGACTCCTATGGAATGTTTTTATTTTCTCTGGAGAGTGCATGTGATCAGTGGCAACTTCCGGGGGGGGGGCAGAACCCAACACATGGCCTCATGGGTGGGCCACGGACAGAGGTCAGGGGTTTGCATCCTTCAGAGCAGAAAAAAAGCTCCTCCTACAAGCTTTAAACAGTGCTCAGCCAACTTCCAGAGAGTCCGAAGTCACAAGACTGCTCTAACTGCTGATGAGAAAAGGTATTTAGCAGTTTATATTTACTAGAATAATGCATTTCCATGTTCTGTGTACTGTGGGAGACCAGGTATAGTGAATTCAGGGTCCTGGGATTAGTAAGCAATTTAAGCAGTTATTTTAGCATGTCTTTCATACAAAAGTACACTGAGTCCACACTTAAGACCTTCCTGAGGAACTTTATGTTATTGGGGATGTAGATGGACTAATTCTCTGAAGCCCTAGATGGCATTTTTCTTAAAGATACCTCCTCCAAGTGGGAGGTAGCCTTCAGCATAGCTGATACAACAGCCTGGTGCTCTCTCAGAGCGCTGCTAGGTGCTTTATTTGATATCAACCTCTTTGAATCAGTGTCAATGGGCAGCACCAGGTCTTCACCAGGTACACCACATCACTAACTTGTTTAACTAATCTTGCCCACAGCTTATGCTCCTGTGGTATTCCAGAATTTAGAACACTTTTTCATCCCCTGCCCCCATTGGCCTCATTGGATCACTTTATGATCCCACACCTCCATTCCGTGCAGGGCACTGCTTGATTTTCTACCAGGGGGTTTCCCTGCTGGTGACTCCCAACAAGTAGAAACTCAGTGTCAGGGCTCCCGAGTATGACCAGAGGTGTGTGACTGACGCAGGGAAACGCAGACTTCAGAAATGTTATAAACAATATAATTTATTAACACTAACAATACAAACATAAACGCAGTGCAATAGTAAAACATAACACAGTGCAAACAAACCAAACCAACCACCCACAGATAACCGTAAATACAATGCAAGCGTCGTCAGGCAGGCCGGGTCAATATCAATCGGGCAGGTAGGTACAGGGGGAGCAAGCGGAGAATGGTCGGGGTCACAAGCCAGGTTCAGCAGGTAGCGGGCAGCGTGGTACAGAGGGTCAGGCAGAGGGATGGTCAGGAACGAGCCGGGGTCAGAGCAGGAGAAGTCAGCAGAGGTCCAGATCAGGCAGGGTCAGCAACAAGACAGGACCAGGAACAGGAACAGGATGCAGGAACAGGATACAGGGCCCAGGAAAAACACACCAAGGCAGAGTCTGCAGGTCTGGCCATCCCTTAAATACACCAGTATAAGTAGTTTCAGGTGTTTGGCTGGCTGCAAGGTTGAGTCTCTGATTGCTGGGAGCACCCGCTGGCCAGCCCTGGTACTGCAGCCCATAAGGCAGGTGAGTCCCACCATTGCTGGCCAGTCCATTCCTGACAGTAACCCCCCTCAAGGAGCGGCCTCAGGACGCTTCAAACAGTCCTAGCTGGGCAAAATGTTCCACCGCCCGGGTCTGGTAACTGGCGGGATATCAAAGACTGGCACACCGGGCAGGACTCCGGGCAGAGGCCCCTCGGGCAGCGGCACACCGGGCAGAGGCACACCGGGCAGAGGCACATCGGGCTGGACTCCGGGCAGAGGCACATCGGGCTGGACTCCGGGCAGAGGCACATCGGGCTGGACTCCGGGCAGAGGCACATCGGGCTGGACTCCGGGCAGAGGCACATCGGATCACCAGGCGAAGCATCAGGCACCGGGCCACCAGGCGGAGCAGCAGGCAGCGGGGAGACAGGCACCGGGCCCCCAGGCGGGGCGACAGGCACCGGGCCCCCAGGCGGGGCGACAGGCATCGGGCCCCCAGGCGGAGCGGGAGGCGCCGGGCCCCCAGGCGGAGCGGCGGGCGCCGGGCCCCCAGGAGGGGCGACAGGCATCGTGCCCCCAGGCGGAGCGGCGGGCGCCGGACCCCCAGGCGGAGCGACAGGTCTCGGGCCCCCAGGCGGAGCGGCGGGCGCCGGACCCCCAGGCGGAGCGACAGGTCTCGGGCCCCAGGTGGAGCGGCGGGCGCCGGACTCCCAGGCAGAGCGACAGGTCTCGGGCCCCCAGGCGGAGCGGCGGGCGGCGGACCCCCAGGCGGAGTGACAGGTCTCGGGCCCCCAGGCGGAGCGGCGGGCGCCGGACCCCCAGGCGGAGCGACAGGTCTCGGGCCCCCAGGCGGAGCGGCGGGCGCCGGACCCCCAGGCGGAGCGACAGGTCTCGGGCCCCAGGCGAAGCGGCGGACGCCGGACCCCCAGGCGGAGCGACAGGCACAGAGTCACCAGGCACAACAGTGGGCTCCGAGTCAACTGGCATGACCGCTGGCACTGGGTCAGACATTGGATCATCTGGCTGGACAGCGGGCATCGGGTCACCAGGCATCAGGTCATTTGGCTCGACAGCGGGCACCGCGTCATCTGGCAAGGCAGTGGGCTCCGAGTCAACTGGCATGACTGTGGGCACTGGGTCAGACATTGGATCGTCTGGCTGGACAGCGGGCATCGGGTCACCAGGCATCAGGTCATTTGGCTCGACAGCGAGCACCGCGTCATCTGGCAAGGCAGTGGGCTCCGAGTCAACTGGCATGACCGCGGGCACTGGGTCAGACATTGGATCGTCTGGCTGGACAGCGGGCATCGGGTCACCAGGCATCAGGTCATTTGGCTCGACAGCGGGCACCGCGTCATCTGGCAAGGCAGTGGGCTCCGAGTCAACTGGCATGACTGCGCGGGCACTGGGGCAGACATTGGATCGTCTGGCTGGACAGCGGGCATCGGGTCACCAGGCATCAGGTCATTTGGCTCGACAGCGAGCACCGCGTCATCTGGCAAGGCAGTGGGCTCCGAGTCAACTGGCATGACCGCGGGGCACTGGGTCAGACATTGGATCGTCTGGCTGGACAGCGGGCATCGGGTCACCAGGCATCAGGTCATTTGGCTCGACAGCGGGCACTGCGTCATCTGGCAAGGCAGTGGGCACCACGTCACCAGGCACGACAGTGGGCTCTGAGTCAATTGGCACGACAGCGGGCACCGGGTCATCAGGTACCGGATTGTCTGGCTCGACAGCGGGTATCGGGTCACCAGGTATGACAGCGGGCACTGGGTCACCAGGTCATTTGGCTCGCCAGCGGGCACCGCGTCATCTGGCAAGGCAGTGGGCAACGAGTCACCAGACACGACAGCGGGCTCTGAGTCAATTGGCACGACAGCGGGCACCGGATCAGGTACCGGATCGTCTGGATCAACAGCGGGCATTGAGTCAACTGGCCTAATAGGATCATCAGGCTGGATCAGTTCATCAGGCTGGGTAGAGGCATCAGGCTGAATGGAGGCATCAGGCTGAGTAGAGGCATCAGGCTGAATACAGGCATCAGGCTGGGTACAGGCATCAGGCTGGGTACAGACCTCAGGCTTAAGTGCGGGTGCCGAGGCACCAGGCTGAACCACGGAACGCAGGTTCTCAGACGGCAGGCTCACTGGTTTGGATACTGGCAGGATGGTATTGGTTGGAAAGAATTTTCGCTTTTTTCTGGTTTTAACTACTGGAGCACTGCAAGTAAACGCAGGTCTGCAAACGAATGGAGCAGCTGGAGACAGAGAAGAGCTGGAGGATGGAACAGGGGAGGGAGCAGTTGCTACAGAGGGCTTTTTTACAGGGTTAAAGGCAGGATAGGTGCAGCGAGTGGGAACAGGGTACTGACATGCGGTAGATAGCAGGGCAGGAGGAGCTGTTGGGAATGCAGGAATAGAGCTTTGAGGAAATAGATTAGAAGCAGGACTAGGTTTTTGTAAGCTGACTGAGGCTGGGTGCAACAAATCTGTCCATGTCTGCAGTATGGGTTGAACAAAGCTCAGCTTACACAAAGCCTGTCTGACCAAAGACTGCACTGCATTTATACAATCCCTTAATACCTGTGGTGAACATGCAGAATAACGCTCCAGAAAGTAATCCACATCATCCTCTAATAACCATACCAGGGACTCTACCTGGTCGGCACTAAATGGCGGCAAAAATTCATCCCTGCATTCGGGGGTACCAGATGAAACCAACTCCGCACAAACCTGAATCAATGGCTGCACCTCAGAGAATTCTGTGCCCTGATCTACTAGAACATGAGCGAGCCATATACATTCTAGCAGTTTCATCCCTGGGATACTCCTTCAGAGTCTGATAAGCATACTCTCTGTCATCAAACACTAGCAGATATAAATACTCAACCTCATCAAGATCCATCCTTCCCATCAACAAACCAAGATGGCTTCCCTGTATGTCAGGGCTCCCGGGTATGATACCAGAGTGTGTGACTGACGCAGTGAAACGCAGACTTCAGATATGTTATAAACAATATAATTAATTAACACTAACAATACAAACATAAACGCAGTGCAATACTAAAACATAACACAGTGCAAACAAACCAAACCAACCACCCACAGATAACCGTAAATACAATGCAAGCGTCGTCAGGCAGGGCCGGGTCAATATCAAATCGGGCAGGTAGGTTACAGGGGGAGCAAGCGGAGAATGGTCGGGGGTCCACAAGCCAGGTTCACAGGTTCAGCAGGTAGCGGGCAGCGTGGTACAGAGGGTCAGGCAGAGAGGGAATGGTCAGGAACGAGCCGGGAGGTCAGAGCAGGAGAAGTCAGCAGAGGTTCCAGATCAGGCAGGGTCAGCAACAACATAGACAGGACCAGGAACAGGAAACAGGATGCAGGAACAGGATACAGGGCCCAGGAAAAACACACACCAAGTCTGCAGGTCTGGCATCCCTTAAATACACCAGTATAAGCAGTTTCAGGTGTTTGGGCTGGCTGCAAGGTTGAGTCTCTGATTGCTGGGAGCAACCCGCTGGCCAGCCCTGGTACTGCAGCCCATAAGGCAGGTGAGTCCCACCATTGCTGGCCAGTTCCATTCCTGACACTCAGACACATCTGTATGGGGATGCTAAGCCACATTTCCCCTGCAGCTCCTCCTTCTAGGTGACATACTTTCTCCCATTGCCATGGAAGAGACCACAGTCTCTCAGCGGAAACTTGCTGACTCTCCCAGACCTGCTGAATCCTTTCTTCATGATGCCTTTTCAAAACCCTTGGTAGGCAACCTCCATGGTACAACAGAACTGGCTTTTATCAGTGTTGCTATTGGAAATCACAATCCACCTTCACTCCTGGTCAGAGCCTCTTGCTCTCCTGGCACTTAGAGCAGGCTTCCCAAATGTAGACACAGATTCTGCTTGGTAAATG